CAATTTAACCTGAATACTGAGGTTTTACTTTAGAAAAAACAACCCATACATTAACTTAAGATGATCCAAACAAAGTAAGGAAAGCAATCCCAAATGCTTTCATTTACTTAAAATTATTTGGCAGAGAATTCGACACTTTAAAGATGGTCTGGGCCTGGCTGGGGCGATGGCACGTGTGCCCACAGAGAGGGCTCTGAGTGCCACCTCTGGCACCCGTGCCATAGGTTCGCCACCACTGATATAGACAAAGGATTTCTTTTCAGACCTGCACATCCTCAAAAGTTTGCATTTTTATTGCCCTGACATTTTGATGCCAACACCCCTTCCCCTCTGCATCCCAGGCCAAAAAAGAAAAGAAAAAAAGATTAAAAAGTTACCCCCCAGCCACCAATTTTTATAGCCAGTTTTGGACTTATCCTGTCACCCCCAGCCTTATGGTTGGCCCCTCCTCTCCCCGATCTCAGCTCTTCACTCCAGGGACCTGCAGCTCTGCTTCCGTCCCTCGCCTTGTCAGTTTCAGCTCCCGAAGCAGCCTCTTCCACCGAGGACAATCCCCCCTTCTTTCCCCACTTATTTATTTAGTTAGACTTATATACTGCCTTTCCCAAGTGGGCTCAGGGCAGTGAACAACAATTGACTAATACACTTGAAATAATGAAAATAACAGTTTACAGATAATTATCATAAAATACCATGTGACCATACAACAATCAGATGACCAATCAAATCGGACCAGTGATGGAGAGGAGGGGACGTCCGCTGCCTCAACCAAAAGCCTGGCGGAAGAGCTCCGTCTTGCAAGCCCTGCGGAACTGTAATAAGTCTCGCAGGGCCCTGATCTCACACGGGAGCTCATTCCACCAGGCAGGGGCCAGGGCTGAAAAAGCCCTAGCCCTGGTCGAAGCTAGTCGGACGTCCCTGGGACCTGGAACCACTAGCAGATGTTGATTTGTGGACCTCAGTGCCCTCCAAGGCTCATATGGGGAGAGGCAGTCTCGTAGGTATACTTCTCTTCAGGAACAGGCTTATTTAATTAGAAGATGTCTTTAATTTTTTAAAAAAAATCAGTTTATTTACTGGACAGAAAGGGCAAATACTGGACTGTCCAGTTCAAAACTTGACACCTGGCAACCCTACCCAGAAAGCTCTCTTTAAGCCGCAACAAATAAGGTTTTCTGGAAAGCTTCCAAATACCCCCCCCCCCCCATTTTGGGAAATTTGCGGAAGCTCCCATATAAACTGTGTGCTATCCGGAGGAACATCCCTGTGTGGAAACTGCCCACACCTGTTAGCAGGGCTCTTTTTGTAGAAAAAGCCCAGCAGGAACTCATTAGCATAATAGGCCACACCCAACAGCAGGAACTCATTAGCATATTGGGCCACACCCCTGACAGCACAGCTCATTAGCACATTAGGCTGCACCCCCATGTTACCAGACGTGTGGTCATCCAGCCACACCCACCTTTTGCTTGTTATTCTGTTTACCTTGTTTGTTGTCAAAACCCAGGGCCTTTTTTTGTAGCAGGGACTCCTTTGCATGTTAGGCCACACACCCCTAATGTAGCCGATCCTAACGCGTTTCTGCTGTTGGGTGTGACCTATTATGCAAATGAGTTCCTGCTGGGTGTGGCCAACTTGGGAGCCAGCCGGAACTCCGTTCCTGTGCGTTCCTGCCCAAAAATAGCCCTGCCTGTTAGCCAGATGCAGGAACAGTGTTATGATGGAGTTCGGTTCTCAGGCGTCTCTGTCTCCTTTGCTGCCTCCTTTTCAACTCAACTAAACAGACAATACTTTTAGGGCTTAATGTTGGAAAAGTAATTTCAGATGTTCAAGAATATAAGTGTTTCATGCTAGAATGCGATCTTATTTTATGCCACCTGCTTCCCTGGAACTACGTACGGGTCTACATACTGGTTTGGATGCAATGACTCATTTTTATTAAGTGAGGACTTTTGTTCCCCCAGTAGGGTTCATGATCCAAGGGAGGTCCCACTCTTCTGGAAGAGCTTTACTGAATTTGTTCCTATTGCCAGGTAATAAGATCTTGCTTTTGTTTACATTTTTAAAATCAACTTTTATTTTTCTTCCTGTTTTCTGTACTGGGTAAATCAGTTCACAGTTTCATCCCTAGGTGGTATATCTGACGTGACTGTTTTAACAAATAATGACATTTATACTTTTCATAAAGGTAAAGGTTCTCTTGCTCGAAAGCCAGTCGAATCCGACTCTAGGGTTGCGGTGCTCATCTCCGTTTCAAAGCCGAAGAGCCAGTGCTGTCCGAAGACATTTCTGTGGTCATGTGGCCGGCATGACTAAACACCAAGGCGCACAGAATGCTGTTACCTTTCCACCGAAGTGGTACCTGTTTATCTACTTGCAGTTTCTTGCTTTCGAACTGCTAGGTTGGCAGGAGCTGGAACTAGAGATGGGCGCTCACTCCGTCATGCGGCAACTCGGGTCTCGAACTGCTGAACTGCCGACCTTCCACAGCCTGCAGTTCAGCGTCTTAACCACTTGAGCCTTTATACTTTTCATACAGACACCCAAATGGTACAACTTTTGTTCCAAGTTTTTCATAGTACACTTAATTTTCTTAAAATAATAAAGTCCACTTTATATCAAACAAGTATCACTCCTTTGAATAGTTACGCTGCTCTCCCACCAATCATTGCACTTTCCTGCATTCTCATTTTCCTGACGTGTTTGTTGATTTGGTTTTAGTGCCCCCCCCCATTCCACATGTGTTTTGCTCCCCCCTAGTGAGCCATTCAATATTACATTGCTTTATGTCCAGCATATTTTCCTGCAGATTTAAACTGCAGGTTTTTATGCTGGGCATAAAGTGTTGTAATATCAAATCAACCAGCAAAACACTTGCAGAACAGACCCCCCCCCCAAGCAACAGGAACACACAAGTGCAGAAAATGAAAATGCAGAAAAGCCCATTGTCATGAAAGCTATGAAAAAGAGCTCCCCGCAAATGAGACTGTGGTTTCTTACATACTTGGGGGAACCCCAGTTGCATAGGAAAATAGGTTGTCATAAATTAACTAAAAGAAAACAACAACAACAAAAGTATAATAAGAACTGAGCATGACTGAAACATGCTGACAGAAACCGAGAGTTAAGATGCTGATCAGCAGTTCGAGACCCTAGTGTACTGCATGACGGAGTGAGCACCCATCTCTAGTTCTAGCTCCTGCCAACCTAGCAGTTCGAAAGCAAGAAATTGCAAGTAGATAAATAGGTACCACTTCAGTGGGAAGGCAACAGTGCGCCTCAGTGTTTAGTTATGCCGGCCACATGACCACAGAAATGTCTTTGGACAGCGTTGGCTCTTCGGCTTTGAAACGGAGATGAGCACCGCAACCCTAGAGTCGGATTCGACTGGCTTTTGAGCAAGGGAACCTTTACCTTTACCTTTAAAAGAGGGGTAAGAAAGGCATTAGACTCTTTCAGTTCCTGTGAGCTTATACTATAGACAGGGCTCTACTGGTAGCAGGAGCTCCTTTGCATATTAGGCCACACACCCGTAGTGTAGCCAATCCTCCAAGAGCTTACAGAGCTCTTCTTACTGGGGCTACTGTAAGCTCTTGGAGGATTGGCTACACTAGGGGTGTGTGGCCTAATATGCAAAGGAGCTCCAGCTACCAGTAGAGCCCTGACTATAGAATCCCTGGAGGGTGAGATGTTGTGAGGTAGGGGGTGATTTTCACAGGCCCCTAGCTTGTTGGATAGATTTTAACCCTACCCCAAGCAGTTTCTGTCCGACAATTTCTCTCTCCATGCCATGACTTCAAAATCATCAAATAAAACCAAGTTAGGAGCATCAAATCATTAAAAATAAAAATTGGGCAAGCATTTTTAGCTATTCGTGCCTTCTGAGGAAACATCTTTACCTATTAGCTACACTAAAGTCTAGGGCAGGGATAATCAGTGGTTCAGGAGCTCCACGAGACTCATTGACCTGCCCTTATGGCTCTGCCCAATGTGGCACCCACCCCATGTTTCAGAATAGTAGGCAGGTCCCTGGCTTGGTGAGTAGGTAGTTTGGTTGACAGGTAGTTTCCACACTGAAGCAACTGCCACTGGATGAATGGGTAAGCTGAGAGATTCCCTGTGGTGTAGGCCTCATGCCAGGGATCAAAGTAAATGCAACTATTTAGGTTGATGGTAGAACTGGATCAATGCTGAGGCAGGTTTGCACTATAGAACTTCATGAGAAGAGCCCTGCTGAATCAGACCAATGGTCCATCCAGCCCAACATCCTGTCTTGCACAGTGACCAGCAAGTCTGGAGGTCTAAAAGCAGGGCATAGAAGTCAAGGCCTTCCCTTGATGTTGCCTCCTGACACTGGTTTTCAGAGGTTTTATTTGTCATCTGGATGTGGAGATTCTCATTAGTTACCATGGCTAGTAGCCACTGATAGACCTATTCTCCACGAATCTAATTCCCTCTCTCTAGCAGCTTGAAAAGCCCAAATTGGCCTGGGCTCATCAGAGCTTAGGAGCTAAGCAGAATTGACCATGGTCAGTACTTGGATGGGAGACTACCAAGGCAGATTGGGGCTCCTGTGCAGGGGAATGCAATGGCAAACCACCTCTGCTCATCTCTTGCTTGGAGCATCCAGTGAGTGGAATCACCATGAATCGGTTGTGCCAAAGATGGCTTGTTGGAAAGGACTGGGGGGGGGGGGGTGGGGGGGGGGAAGTGACTGCAGGAAAGATCTGCAGCTATTATTGCCTTCCGCTGATGGATCACAGAATCCAAGTCAAGGTTTTCAGCATCTTAAACTCCGTGACCCATACGTGCAACGTACAATCTCTTTTTCAGTATATGCCTAATAGATACTCAACTCAGTTCTTTTCCTAAATAGTTGAAGTATTTCATTCTTATTCAAATGTCATTAAATAAGAGAATAAAGGGCATTTTGTACAATTGTTTCTGTTACTGTGCTTAATATTTAGATCTGCGTTTGTTTTACAGGACTGAGCGGCCGGTAAAGACAACCAAGAACACGAATAAGCACTTTTAAAGACTTGTTACCCTATGGCACAGCCGAGAAGTGTGAGAACCAAAAATTTCCTCTGTGTTTATATTTTCACAATAACCCTCCACCATGCGGTGCTTCCTTCTGCAGAAAACAGATATACAACAGACTATTCAAAGCGGTTCCTAGATGCTGTTCCTAAAAATCTCCCAGCAGAAACAGTGGTGTTGGATTTGTCACAGAACAGTATCTCTGAACTTGGGACTTCTAATTTTAATTACCTTTCCAAATTACGCATACTAAAGCTGGCTCATAATTTTATCAGAGACCTCAATTTCAGTATCTTCCAGTACAACCAGAATTTAGAGTACATTGATTTATCCCATAACAAACTGTGGACCGTTTCATGCCATCCTATTACACGCCTCCGTCACTTAAATCTCTCTTACAATCACAATCTATCCATGGCCATGTTGTCTGGATTTGGCAAAATGTTGAAGCTGGAATATCTTGCCCTGAGTGCTAGAAGAATACAGAAGCCAGATTTCAGTGCTCTTGCTCACTTACAACTGGATACTCTGTTCTTGGATCTGGAAGACCTCTCTGAATATAAAGCTGAAAATCTACTGGCATTCAACGCAACGAATCTTCAGATCATTCTCCCCCAAAATAAAGAATTCCATATTGTTTTGAATCTAGACCTGAATACTACAGTAGGTTTAGAACTTTCAAATATACAAGATAATTGTGTCAATGACTTGAAAGCCCTTTTGCTTAAACTCAACAGAAATGTAAGGCTGCGATATTTAACACTGAGTCACATGAAAACAACCTTGACGAATGTCATTTATTTTTTTCAGAATATTCGGAGAACCACCATTGAGCATTTCAATATATATCACCTCAGCATTTCACAGTTAGCCGAACGTTTTAGAGTTCCTGATTATACTGAAACTTCACTAAAATCTTTGACAATTAAACATGTAAAGATTGAGGATACGAGATTTAGCCAACCTGATGTGTACAAATTATTTTCTGAGATGAACATTCCAACCTTGACTCTTTCCAATGCAAATGCAATACATATGCTGTGCCCACTGAAGCCCAGTCATTTTACCTATTTAAGTTTTGCTCATAATTCTATAACAGACGAGCTTTTTGAAGGGTGCAGTAGCCTAAATCTTCTTGAAACCCTTGTTCTACAAAGGAATCAATTTAAAAAACTTACCAAAGTGAGTTTAATGACCAGCCACATGAAGTCTCTGAAATATCTGGACATGAGCCAGAATTTATTGCAACACGAAGTCCATGAGAAAGGGTGCCACTGGGGTGAAAATCTGGTGGAACTGAATTTGTCATCCAACCTGTTGTCCGATTCCGTCTTTCACTGTTTGCCAGTCAACATCCAAAAGCTTGATCTACAGAACAACCAAATTTCAAGTATCCCCCGCATGACTGTTGAGCTCAGAGCTCTGGAAGAGCTGAATTTGGCTTCTAATAGGCTGACTGACCTGCCTGGGTGTGGTCAGTTTAGGAGTCTGAGATCACTGTATACAGAAATGAATTCAATAGTCACACCCTCTTCCCAATTCTACCATACCTGTCAGAGCATCAGAGAAGTAAAAGCAGAGCACAATCCCTTCATGTGTTCCTGTGAAATACGAGAATTAATTGATCTTAGAAAACAAGGATTGGTGGTATTGGTTGGCTGGCCCGAGTCTTATCGGTGCGAATACCCAGAAGATGTACGAGGAACCCAGTTACAGGATTTTCATGTCTCTGAACTTGTCTGCAACACGACACTTTTGGTTGTTGTAGTTCTCGTTATTACAGTGGTCTTTGCAGCTATCATTTCCTTCCTGTGCATCTGTCTGGACATCCCTTGGTATTTGAAGATGATGTGGCAGTGGACTCAAGTGAAACACAGGATTTGGAAAAATAGCCCCGAAGACGTTCTTGATAATATAGAATTCCATGCGTTTATCTCGTATAGTGAGCGTGATTCTGACTGGGTGAAGAATGTCTTGATTCCAAACTTGGAGAAGGAGGATGGCTCCGTACAGATCTGCCAGCACGAAAGGAACTTCATTGCCGGCAAGAGCATTGTTGAGAATATCATAGACTGCATTGAGAAAAGTTACCGATCCATCTTTGTGTTGTCTCCCAATTTTGTGCAGAGTGAATGGTGTCATTACGAGCTCTACTTTGCCCATCACAAGCTATTCCAAGAAAAAAACAACAGTTTAATCCTCCTCTTGCTGGAACCAATCCCACCCTACATCATTCCTGCAAAATATTACAAACTAAAAGCTCTCATGGCGAAGAGGACCTACTTGGAATGGCCCAAGGAGAAGAGCAAGCAGGGACTTTTCTGGGCGAATCTTAGGGCAGCTATTCATGTTAAGCTTTTATGTGGTGAAGATATAGCTGAGCTGCAGATGTAAAGTCTATTCTCAACTAAAAAATTCTATTAAGTAACAGAAGGATTTTTTTTATTCCAAAGGAATAAAAGCAGGGGTCATTTCGTAGAAAAAGAGCTAGGGGAACTCATTAGCATAACTCATTAGCATATGCCACACCCCCTGACATAACTGGAAGTGTGTCATAAGGCCACACCCCCTGACATCACCGGAAGTGTGTCATAAGGCCACACACCCCGCCCCCAACGGTCCCGGCCGCCACTGCCGGCCTTGCAGCTCCACTGCCGAGCCCCACGAGGGGCCTGGCGGTGGACCTGCAAGGCCGGCAGGAGTGCAAGGAAGCCCCGCGAAGGCCCTCCCTGGCCCCAGGCAGGCAGGGGTGGGGAGAGGCAGGGAGGAAGCAACTCACCCTCCCTCTTCTCCTGCCTCCTCCTTGCTGAATGAGGGCCGGAAGCGGGGCAGCCGGAAGCAGGGGGCGGGGCTTCATCATGTGCCCCGCCCCCGTACCTCACCCGGGGGAACTGTGATCCCCCACGATCCCCCCCGAAATGACCTCTGAATAAAAGTATTAAATAGCATGGAACGTTGGAGCATTTATTACAAACATTTCCTGTGCAAATTGGACACAATAATTAGATCAACTAGGGATATTCAGAGAAGCAAAGAAGCCTCCAAGTTGGTAGAAAATAAGTTATTCATGATGTCAGATTGTAAAATGAGATGTATGTTTGTAGGACATTTTTCTTTTTTCTGTATCTTGTTTTCTTTTTCTCTAAACGCTGGGGTTCCTGGCCGTATTGTATGAAGTCAAGGTGCTACATGATATTTTAAAGGTGCAAGGCATATCAGTCACAATTATCTCTTCATACACGTATTAACACATCATATGCAAAACAAAACAGGGTTTTTAACTGCCTCATCATTTGTATTCATGGAGTTCACCCCCAAATCATGCTTGATGAACAGGCATGTTCAGAAAGCAACAGCGATCATGCACAATCCGGGGTATTTCTTTTGGAAATCACTGTTGTGATACATTTTAAGTGTAATATCAGTTTTTCCTCAAATTAGCACTTTTGCTTTAATAAGGTCTGACACAAGGGTTCATTGAAGCCTAGATCCTCCTCATGGGTTGTCCTTACCAAACTACAGCCCCCTGCCCCAGACCCGCTTCTCTCCAATCTATGTTCATAATAATTAATCAATGTGTTGAGATACATACAGAGACTGAACCAAATAGCTGTTCTGTTTCTGAGGGCTAAGCGACCATGCTTCTCTGTCCCTGCATTTTTTGGAGCAATCTTGAGATTTTTCTGCATCAAGAACCAGCTAGCCTAATTCTCTAATACTTCCCCCAGGTTTTATTCCTGTATGAATTCTTTGTCATAAGAACATAAGAAGAGCCCTGCTGGATCAGACCAATAGTCTATCGAGTCCAACATCCTGTCTCACCCAGTGGCCAACCGGTTCCTCTGGAGGGACAACAACAGGGCACAGAGGTCGAGATGTTGCCTCCTGGCTCTGGGATTCGGAAGATTAGTGCCTCTGAATGTGGAGGTTCCCCTCAGTCACCATGGCTAGTAGCCATTGATAGACTTATCCTCCATGATCCTATCTAATCCCCCTTTAAAGCTGTCTATTCCTGTGGCCATCACTACATCCTCTGGCAGCAAATTCCATATTTTAATAACTTTCTGTGTAAAGTAGTATTTCCTTTTGTCCGTCCTGAACCTACTGCCCATCAGCTTCATTGGATGCCCTTGAGCGCTAGTATTTTGGGAGAGAGAGAAACGTTTCCCTTTGTCAACTCTTTCTACCCCATGCATAATGTTATAAACCGCTATTCTGTCCCTCCTTAGTCGCCTGTTTTCTAAACTGAAATGTCGCAGACCTTTCCTCATAGGGAAGGTGCTCCAACCTCCTAATCATCTTGGTTGCCTTCCTCTATACTTTTTCCTGCTCTGCAATCATCATTTTATTTACTTACTTCATTTATACCTCACCTTTCTCCCCAGTGGGGATCCAAAGCAGCTTATATCACCCTCCATTTCACAACAACCCTGAACAGTAGGTTAAACTGAGAGCGTGTGGCTAGGCCAGGGTCACCCAGCAAGTTCCCACGGCAAAGTGGGGATTCAAACCAGGGTCTGACAAATTCTAGTCCTCTAGCCATTCTACTACACAACAAGGATCTCTGCCCTGAAAGATTGGTATGCACCTGCTGTTAAGTCAAGGAAGCCAGAATATTTGCAATACTAAAGGCTTGCCTACATGCAGAAACTCACATCACACCTCCAGCCAGCAGACAGTGCCTGGCTGGCTACCTTGATTCGAGGAAACAAAGAACATCCTGAAACTGTCACATTCTTGTTTTTGTCATTTAGAAATTTAGGGGCTATCTTGCATTGTTTTGCTAAAAGCAACATTTCCTGGGCCATAATGGCCCACATTACCAAAGCAGTTAGATTAATTGATGCAGTTTATAATTTCTATAGCTCTATCGAAATGTATGTGACCAATATGGTATAAAAGAAGGCAAGAAGCTTCATTTCAGGACTGACTCTCAGAGATCCAGAAAAGGCTTTGTCTTTCGTGATCTCTCTGGGCCAGTCCAGAAGCTTCTGTGCATGCGGAAATCTTTGTTCTCTATATTTAACTACTGACTGTCTTTTTTTAAGGACGTAAGTATTCTGTTTTGTATTCCTTGCTTGTCTTTAGCTAATAAACAATTTTATTGTTTAAACAACCTTGTGTTGCATTCCAGCTAACTTTCTTTTAACATTCTACCCCGCCTTGGTACGGGGCACTCACCAGACCCTTACGAACCTAAAGGGGGTGGGAACAAGTGCAGGTAACACTTTATACAGGGTTAGTTTAGACTGACAAGTGCTACAGTTGCATTTCCCCCACACGTCCTTCTCATCCCGCCGGTTTCATCTTGTTTTTAACAAGCAGCCTGATGGAGAACGTTGAATGTCTGCTCACTCCTTTTTAAGATCCCAGTATTGCCTTGCTTTAATATTGTGGAGTCGGGAGCTGCTATAAGGAAAAATGGAGGCAGGGAAAGCCACGGACGCTACTGAGTTCCCGGGATGGAGGGCAAGGTAAAATTGCAGTGGCCACCAGTGTTCCCTCTAAGCTGAGTCCGTGTGAGCTAGCTCCGTTTTTTAGCCTCCGGCTCACACATTTCTGTCTTAGCTAAGGAAGGGATGGGGCTCCAGATGAAACTAATTTATGCAGTAGCTAAGTCGCTTGCTCACAACTTTGATGCCAGTAGCTCACAAAGTAGAATTTTTGCTCACAAGACTCCACAGCTTAGAGGGAGCATGGGTGGATATGCAGATTAAGCCTGTGCCTTGCAGGTGAAGTCACCAGTGAAGCCTAGGCAAATTGACTGGCGTCCGTTACCTGAGGTCCCTTGGAAACAGTGTACTGAAATTCCTCCGTTAGGCTGCTCCCTTGAGGAAATTTTCATCAGACTGTGTTGCCATCGCTGGTGTTGAGGGATATTCTCCACTGAAATCCTAATAGCCACAACAGGAAAAATATGCATGCTGCTTGGACTGGTGAACCTTTTCTGTATGGTTGGGCACGTGTAGCGAACATGGACAATAAATGGCAGGGGGGAGGAATTTCACCCCAGCACAAACTAGGTAACCAAAGAAGCTGGAAAAAAGAAAGAAAAAAACTTGTATGTAGAGATATCAAGGTCAGTTCCCCAAAAGCTATGATTTTAGTAAATCGAAGAATCTTTGATCAAGTTTTAAATGTTAAAAACTGCACAAAACCCCATCATTTGGTGTCCTGTACAGGGCACACGTGCCATTGGGCAATGCCATCGCTCAGTGGTAGAGCACCTGCACGGCATGCAAATGGTCCCAGGTTCAGTCCCGGTTGTAGGGGATGCATTGTTAACAAATACACTGTGCGGTTTGTATTGTACAAACTTAAACTGCTGAGGAAGGCCTCACAGCCGAAATGCATTTGGTGTACATGTATTTGATAATATTAATAGCAGTAACTGGTCATAGATGCCTGTAAATTTGTGATATCCCCATGTGTTTGAGTGTAACTTTACAAAAGAAGTTCTTTGGCACTTGGGTAAGGTACCTATATATGTAACTAAAGTTGGTGGATTTTTATGCACAGTTTTTCATATTTACAATTTGATTAAAGATCCTTCTTTGATTTAATATAATTGTAGAGGTGTTTTTTTTAAATTGACCTAGATATTTCTACATACAAAGAGGGTTCCCCCCCAACACTTTGGTTACTTGGTGTGTGTGTGTGTGTGTGTGTGTGAGAGAGAGAGAGAGATGGGATCTTTTAATAGAAATTTTGGGTTTAAAATTTTTTTAAATTGCTTTTCCACTACACATACTACAAGGAAAGGGAAGAAGGGGCTACAACTAAAATACAAAGCTAAAGCAAGGATCATCTTTCATAATTATATAAATAGCTTATTGTATTTCCCAACCTTGAAATAAATTTAAAAAATGTAAGAGGAATATAACTGTTTAAGGTTAATATACAGAAACAAACTAAAGCAAGCATGTTTAGCCAAAATAGATGTAAGCCCGTTTCACATATAACAAACCGATAAGAGACTTTCAGAGTTAAACTACATATTATTTTGCATAGTTCTTGTTTTTTCCTTGTGTTGGGTCTTTTAATAGAAATTTGGTGCCATCTGGTGGCGAGTACTACACCAAGACCTTCTTCGGTAACTTGGAAATTGGATGACTTGCTCAGAAAGCACAAGGGAAAAATGAACACCACATAAGTTTAATATGAACCATGAATATACATTTACTACAAACAGCTGTTTATGCAGAATTATCTCAAGTGCAGAAACAGGAAGTGTGCCTGGGAAAGGCCAGGCACACTGAAGACACAGCACCACAGCCAGGCCCGGAGCCAGGATTTCCTTTTTCGGGGGGCATTTAAATTTCTTAGGGGGCACCAAGTTGATTAAATTAAAGTTAAAGCTTCCCTGCTTGGACCCCCCCACCCCTGCTGACTCA